AGTAGTGAAGATACTTTTACTCCACTTGCTCATCGTACCTTCAGATCATACACGTAATTGCATTATTGTTTGTGAGTATTAGTAAGCAGGTTTAGATCGACTGATTGCCTGTCTGCTGTGTTCCGAGATATTGCGCACGAGAAAAAGAGTATTAATAATACATTGAATTATTGTGTGATCATCCTAAATTTATTGAGACTGATTGGCTTGACTTCTCACATTGTTCTGCGCAGATCGCGACAGTGCAACTATCACCTCTGTTCATCACCTTCAGTGGTCACGAACGTTTCTGTGTCACCACAATATTTCAGATGTTTGTTAAAAGAGAAATCGGATGTGGTGGAATTTATAATTATAGATTCTATTAATCGATTTAGATGCATAGATATAGATCTCACTATTATATTTATTTATATAAAATATTTATTTAGGTCATTGGTAGCAAATTTATCAGCCAATAATGTCTCGAATATTATCCCTATCAGTCAAGAACAATTTGATAAATTAAAAAAATTACAAGATGCGTATCAAATTTATGTTGGTTTAGATATTTATTCGTAAGTGTATTCTTGTATATTATTGATATCATTGTATATATTGTATGTTATGGTGTATTATTATTATGTCTGACATTCTATCATTATCATTAAATAGTTGGCAAAGTGTAAAGAAAGCGAATTACGAATCTTTATTGATGGCGACATATTTCAATAATACATTGGCATAGACTTAGGTAATCAATAATTATTATAAGTGAATATTTATATACATTATACACACATACAATATGTCCCACATACACTGCATTTTATTAAGTAGCAATTTTGGTCATCTTTTCACAAATAATAAAAATATAATAAAAATGTAAGCTGCTCGCTCATAAAAAATAATAAAGTGGATTTTTCAGCACTCCCATGAAGGCACAGTTAGACCATTCTACCTGGAATATCCAAATCCAAAGATGTAAAAAATGTATTTATTATTGACTTTATTATTAATTTATAATTTTTGTAAATGGACAAAAGGAAATGAAAAAATAAATAAATTTATTCAAGATGCTTAACTAAATGCAGGATGATTTGAGAAAGAAATAGAGTAAATCCCTTATCACAAATTTAAAGATATTAAAGAAATTGTCAAAGGTGGTTTTGGTACAATAAGTGGATTGATGGATATACTAAGAGATGGGGAATTAAAACAAAACAATGGAAAAGATACGGTAAACTTGAAGTGGCATTAAAAAAATTTGATATTTTTGAAAATCCAGAATTCTTAAATGAGGTAAAATATTTTTTGAATTATTTTTTCGATTATATAATTTTAATTTATAAAAATACATTATATACAATTGATGGCAATTCACTTGATGCGTTATTGTTTCTTGACTTTGGCCTTTTTGGCACTAATAATCCCATCCGAATTTATGTAGATATATGGATAATGGAAACCTTAGAGATCATTTAAGAAATAATTTCGATAATATTAATTGGGAAGAAATTGGTTTATTAAACTGAGTTAGCATAAGATCAAACTAATTTCACATATCTAATATTGTGCACCAGGATTTTCGCTAGTTGTAGTTTCAATTGCCATGGTCCTATTGAAGATTTTTTTAAATGGTTAAGTGAATCGAATTCGTTGAGATCCTGCAATCGGGCATGAATTAATATATTTTGAATTTCTTATGCTAACCTAATGGAGACTGGGCTATTATAAATATTATTGATAATAGATTGTTTAATGGTAATAATTATTATTACTATTTGATCGATTATTAATTATTAATTATTACCAATTTTGAGAAAGGAAATGGTTTCAGCGTTTTCTTGTTTCCAATTCACCCATCAGAGTCATCAAACTTGAAAATTTCATATTTGCGATTGTAGGTTTATGGAGTGATAAATTAATAAATATAAATTAGTCATCATAACATTTATTAATTCAATCAGTTTCGCGATCAGTTAGGTTAAAAACATTTGAAGGAATGCTTTGTTTATTAATAGGATTTGTGATGGACAAGTTAATTTCTTTATTTTGAATCAAGTTAATGCTCTAACATGTATAAAATAATAAAATAAAAAAATTATTGTATCAAACATGCGATTGTCACGATTGTAAGCTATAAAAGCTGCCATCAATAATGACAATAAAGATGGAATTAGTATATTACATAAAAACATTTTTTTCTTTATTTTCTAAGATCTATTCTATTCGATTATCTCCTAAATATTTAATCACTCGAATCTACATCATAAATTATCGTTCAATTTAATGTTCATGAATCAAAGGTTACATCATCATTCTTTACTATTTATTTATTGATTCCTTACATCTCATTAGTTAATAATGAATTGAAAATTTAAAAATTAAATAAATAGTTTTATAAATATAAATGTTACTTTATTCCTTTATCATTATAAATTAAAAAATCAGAAAATGATATTGAAAATAAAAAATTGGAAAACGTGACATTCCGTATCACGGGATCGTAATTAATGCAAAAGGATCAACGATCACGTAAATATGAATAATCAGAATCACGGGATTTCAGGATCGTGATCAACGATCACGTAAATATAAACAAAATAAACAAACGAAAACTTCTCTCTTAAACCTTCGATAAATTTAAAAAACCTTATACAAAGTTATTTTAGTTAGTTTAGCTTGAAAATGCCTTTGGATAGATATAACCGCCACTTTACTCATTCCGTTTCGCCTTATTACCGTCGCCAATCTTCTGTTCCTTCTGGTGCTGCTTCTCCCGCTTATACTTTATCTTCTGCTTCCGTTGCTAATACTTCTTTTGTTCCTCTTGGTGCTGCTTGTCCCGCTTATACTTTATCTTCTGCTTCCGCTTCTAACACTGCTTCTTTTGTTCCTTCTATTAATACTAATTATTACTGTTCTTATTATTACGACCCTTCTTATTCTTATGCTATACCTGATTTTGTTAACTCTCCTTATTTTACTCCTTCTACTTATGTTTATCCCGCTTCTTCTATTGCTTTGCCTAATTCTTCTTCTATTACTTCTATTTTGCCTACTTATGTTTCTCATGCTTCTTCTATTACTTTGCCTACATCTTCTTCTATTACTACTACTTCGCCTACTTATGTTTCTTCTGCTTCTTCGACTGCTTCATTAACTGCTGCTTCTTCCACTACTACTTCTTCTTCTTCTTTAGCTCCTTCTTATTCTTTAGTTTCTACTAATACTTCTTCTGCTGTTCCTGTTGCCACTAGCTTTGCTAATACTGCTAATTCTTCTTCTTCAACTACTACTACCACTACTAACTCTACTATTCCTTCTATATTTTTTGCTACTAATAATTTAAATGCTTCTTCTTCCACACAAGCTAGCCCCATGAGTTCCAGAGAAAGTAGTGTGGCTCTTGGTGACAGGTAATATATGGTTTATAACTCATTAATAAGATTGATTATTTTGTATATTAAATTTAATAATAATTATTATTATATTAAAATAGAGTGTCACACTATGACTCCACATCTGCCATATCAAGACATGATGCATTGAAATCTGTCTTAACCTCTCCTGATATTGAGCTCTATCCTCCTCAGGTTGTCAATAGAGCACAATTATCTGTAATCAGACACCGTATGTAAAAATATTTATTAGTTTCATTATGTAGAATAATAATTATTTGAAATAAATATTTATTAAAATTATTTATTATAATAGAACGAAAAATAAATAACAGATATACTCCTTACATTAGTTCAGGCTTGAACGAAAGGT